TGGCGGGGGCAGATGGGAGGTGTAGTACAACCCCCTGGGCACCACATGCTTCCAGGTTTGGTGCCGGCCCATTCCTTTGCAAATAAAAAGTCTTACTGCTGCCAAACAATGGCAAAATCACTCCAAAGACCCTTCCCACCAAATTCTTAGTGTTGAACGGTTAAGATTCATCAGTTAAGTACAGGGGGCAGAGTTTACTGAAAAGAACTGATTTTACTGCAGCAGCTTTAAAGGGGGGCTGGAATTAGAGGTCTGATAAGCAGGAAAAATTAGGGAGGCGGGTGGGAGGGGAAAAGAGAAAAGGAGAGGAAAAAAAGGTAGAATAAAGGTGAGCCCATCAGCCTGCCCTTCTCTCCTCCTTGTCTCCACCAGGTCACTTGCTTTTCTTTAACAACGGCCTCCATCTGTTTTGAAAAAGCCAAACCTAAGAAACTGTTTCGGCCTTCAACCCAGACACTTTACGATGGTCAACAGGGACCAAAAAGCATATCTTCGGGACTTCAGACAAGGAATGCTTCCAGCCTTATTCATGGATGCCAAGGGCTGCCCATAAGATGCTCTATATGGACTGAGCATGGTGTTTTCCTACCCAGCAGCAACTCCTTGCAAAAGGCGGAAGGAACATGCCTTACAAATGGAGGGATGTTTATTATTAAAGCACCCTCCACCACAAAGATCACTCCAAAGCATCTAGAGAGGTGTCTCTCCATAGTGCGGGTACTATTTGTTGCTTCTCGCCCTGTTCAGCTACAGCAGCTGGGAGGCTTCTTTTCCTGTTGGGTAGCAACTGTCAGGTTGTGTGTGTGTGGGGGGGGGTACGAAAACAGAACAGGCACTGGCCTCTAAGATCCTATGGTGTATGTGTTCTTCTCACCTCTAATCTTGCTTTGTCTCTTTCTAGCCTAACCTGAGGCACAGTGAAAAAGAGCCACCAGCCCATGATCCAGTGGTAGGTAGCAGAGTAGCTCCTCTTGGACCTGAGAGTCAACTAAGCTGGCGGTGGAGACATGTATGAGCCATGCGCTGCTCCTCTATAACGCCAAAGCACCAATCCTCACCTACGTTATCCTGCATTGTAAGAGTCTGCAAAACATTTCTCCTCACCTCAAGAGGGTGAAACGTCTTCCTGGTGCTACTGACAAAGGGCTCTTGCCATCAATGAGAATTTTTTTTAGGTGCAAATTGCAAAACTTCCAGCATTTGTACAAACCGTGGAAGACTACAATCACCGCTGCCTTTTTGCACCCAGAAGCATCCAGTGGGTTGTTTGCATCCTCTTAAACAAACAGTCAGCACCTTGCTTCTCAGGGGAAAGAAGGAGGTTAACTTTTGTGCAGACTGCCGCATGCACACATTCTGCACAAAACTGAAGGAATCTTAGCAGATGAGAAAATGAGCTCTTTGTCTTGAATCTCCCGAGGCCTGGAAGTTCCTAATCAAAGCAGCCTAAATCGGTGAGCACTAGCAATTCACAGAAAGCATTCTCTGCATCCTTACGAGGAAGCCCTTGCCAAAGTCAAGTATGCAAGATGACAGGGAGTTGTCCAAAAGCTGGGACAATAATGCCTTCCTGGAAGGAAAGAATGTACTTCTCAAAGCAGCAAGGTTAAAGTTGGTTCTATTTACACATATGCAGTTGGGCGTTTGTGGTATTTATGGGGGGCCCAGAGGCTGAAGGAATGTCATCTTTGGCGGCTGGGCTGCAGGGGACACAGATAAGGAGCGGCATAAAAGACCACACCAACCCAGAGGAGAGCTTCAGTGAACATTCAACGCTGTCGGTGAGTTTGAAATGGAGAGCAAACCATCGACCGTTGACTGTACCTTGAGGCTCATCGCAGACGTCCGTGGAACACAGATTCAGACGCCGTACTTCACACGTTCAACCCGTCGGAGGGGTTTTCCTACAATCTACTGCATATAACATTCAAGAACCAACTTTCACTAAACTTCAGCACTTTTAAAGTTAGGTATGGACAGCCTCCGAGGTGGAGCAGAGCAGGGCCATGCTGGCATTCAACTAAAAAAAAGAGACATTTTCGGTACTGCCACTGAACTTGCCAGAGATACCGGGGGGGGGGGGGG